TTCACCTTCAGCCTATGTATGTCTTTTCCTATCAAATGCGTCTCCTGTAGGCAGCATATTGTTGGGTCTTGTTTTGTGACCCATTCTACTAGCCTGTGTCTCTTGATTGGTGAGTTTAAGCCATTAACATTTAGGGTTATTATTGAGATATGGGTTGTTCTTCCAGCCATATTTGTTTATTTATGTTACTAAACATGGTTTGTTTTCCTCTTTGATTATTTTCCCCCCTTTAGTGTCCTACCTCCCACTGTTGGTTTTCATTGTTATTTTCCATTTCCTCTTCCTGTAATGTTTTGCCCAGGATGTTTTGAAGAGATGGTTTTCTAGCTGCAAATTCTTTTAACTTTTGTTTATCGTGGAAGGTTTTAATTTCATCTTCCATCCTGAAGCTTAATTTCGCTGGAAACACAATTCTTGGTTGGAACCCATTTTCTTTCAGTGTTTGAAATATGTTATTCCAGGATCTTCTAGCTTTCAGAGTCTGTGTTGAAAGATCAGCTGTTATCCTGATTGGCTTACCCCTAAATGTGATCTGCTTCCTTTCTCTTGTAGCTTTTAAAATTCTCTCCTTATTCTGTATGTTGGGCATCTTCATTATAATGTGTCTAGGTGTGGGTCTCTTATGATTTTGCACATTCGGCGTCCTGTAGGCTTCTAGGATTTGGGGTTCTGTCTCATTCTTTAAGTCTGGGAAGTTTTCTCGTATTATTTCATTGAATAGATTGCTCAATCCTTTGGTTTGAAACTCTGTCCCTTCCTGTATCCCAATGACTCTTAAATTTGGTCTCTTGATGTTATCCCATATTTCTTGGATGTTCTGCTCATGGTTTCTTAACAGTCTTGCTGAGCTGTCTATGTTCTTTTCAAGTTGAAATACTTTATCTTCATTGTCTGATGTTCTGTCTTCTAAGTGTTCTACTCTGCTGGTAGTATTCTCAATTGAGTTTTTAAGCTGGCTTATTGCTTCCTGCATTTCTAGGATTTCTGTTTGTTTGTTTTTTATAACCTCTATTTCCCTGTGTAGTTGATCTTTTGCTTCTTGGATTTGTTTATGTAATTCATTGTTGAAGTGATCTTTCATTGTCTGATTTTGCTGTCTGATGTCTTCCTTGAGACTCCAGATCATCTGAAGCATGTATATCCTGAATTCTTTATCTGACATTCCATCTGCTGCAGCTATTACCTCTTCTAATGTTGAGTTGACCTGCATTGCTTGTGGTCCTTTCTTTCCTTGTCTCTTCATACTGTTTGCGTTCCTTTCTACTTAGTGAAACTGTTGTGTTATTGAATTTTCCCCCTATATATTTATATTGGTCTTGTATAGTTGCAAAGTCTCCCTCGCAGGCGCGGGCGGCGGCTCTGTCCCACTGCGGGCCGCTAGGCTTCTTCTGTGGGTGGTCACAGTTCTGTCTACTTTGCAGGTGCAGGCAGCGGCACTGCCCCTCTGCAGGCCTCTGGGGCTGTACTGCCAGTGGGTCGCAGGTCCGCCTACCTTGCAGGTGCGGGGGGGAGGGGGGCGGCTCTACCCTTCCTCAGGCCACTGGGCCTGTTCTGTCTCTCGGTTGCAGGTCTGGCCTGTTTTGATGGTGGTCACAGTTCCACCTACCTGGCAGGCGCGGGGGGTGGGGGGCGGCTCTGCCCCCCAGCAGGCCCCTGGGCCTGCTCTGTGCGTGGTCACAGTTCCCTCTACCTTGCCGGTGCAGGGGGAGGGGGCGGCTCTGCCTCCCAGCAGGCCGCTGCTCCTCTTCTGCCAGTGGGTCGCAGGCCCGCCTACCTTGCAGGAGTGATTGGAAGCTCTGTCCTGCCGCGGGCCACTCGGCCTTTTTCTGTCGGTGGTCACAGTTCCACCTACCTGGCAGGCGCGGGGGGTGGGGGGTGGCTCTGCCCCTCAGCAGGCCGCTGGGCCTGCTCTGTGCGTGGTCACAGTTCCCTCTACCTTGCCGGTGCAGGGGGAGGGGGCGGCTCTGCCTCTCAGCAGGCCGCTGCTCCTCTTCTGCCAGTGGGTCGCAGGCCCGCCTACCTTGCAGGAGTGATTGGAAGCTCTGTCCCGCCGCGGGCCACTGGGCCTTTTCTGTCGGTGGTCACCTGGCAGGGGCGGGGGGTGGTGGGTGGCTCTGCCCCTCAGCAGGCCGCTGGGCCTGCTCTGTGCGTGGTCACAGTTCCTTCTACCTTGCAGGTGCAGGGGGAGGGGGCGGCTCTGCCTCTCAGCAGGTCGCTGCTCCTCTTCTGCAGGTGGGTCGCAGGCCCGCCTACCTTGCAGGAGTGATTGGAAGCTCTGTCCCGCCGCGGGCCACTGGGCCTTTTCTGTCCGTGGTCACAGTTCCCCTACCTGGCAGGCGCGAGGGGTGGGGGGCGGCTCTGCCCCTCAGCAGGCCGCTGGGCCTGCTCTGTGCGTGGTCACAGTTCCCTCTACCTTGCCGGTGCAGGGGGAGGGGGCGGATCTGCCTCTCAGCAGGCCGCTGCTCCTCTTCTGCAGGTGGGTCGCAGGCCTGCCTACCTTGCAGGAGTGATTGGAAGCTCTGTCCCACCGCGGGCCACTGGGCCTTTTCTGTCGGTGGTCACCTGGCAGGGGCGTGGGGTGGGGGGTGGCTCTGCCCCTCAGCAGGCCGCTGGGCCTGCTCTGTCCATGATCACAGTTCCCCTACCTGGCAGGCGCGAGGGGTGGGGGGCGGCTCTGCCCCTCAGCAGGCCGCTGGGCCTGCTCTGTGCGTGGTCACAGTTCCCTCTACCTTGCCGGTGCAGGGGGGGGGGGCGGCTCTGCCTCTCAGCAGGTCGCTGCTCCTCTTCTGCCAGTGGGTCGCAGGCCCGCCTACCTTGCAGGAGTGATTGGAAGCTCTGTCCTGCCGCGGGACACTCGGCCTTTTCTGTCGGTGGTCACCTGGCAGGGGCGGGGGATGGGGGGTGGCTCTGCCCCTCAGCAGGCCGCTGGGCCTGCTCTGTGCGTGGTCACAGTTCCCTCTACTTTGCCGGCGCAGGGGGAGGGGGCGACTCTGCCTCTCAGCAGGTCGCTGCTCCTCCTCTGCCGGTGGGTCGCAGGCCCGCCTACCTTGCAGGAGTGATTGGAAGCTCTGTCCCGCCGCGGGCCACTGGGCCTTTTCTGTCCGTGGTCACAGTTCCCCTACCTGGCAGGCGCGGGGGGTGGGGGGCGGCTCTGCCCCTCAGCAGGCCGCTGGGCCTGCTCTGTTCGTGGTCACAGTTCCCTCTACCTTGCCGGTGCAGGGGGAGGGGGCGGCTCTGCCTCTCAGCAGGTCGCTGCTCCTCTTCTGCAGGTGGGTCTCAGGCCCGCCTACCTTGCAGGAGTGATTGGAAGCTCTGCCCCGCCGCGGGCCACTGGGCCTTTTCTGTCCGTGGTCACAGTTCCCCTACCTGGCAGGCGCGAGGGGTGGGGGGCGGCTCTGCCCCTCAGCAGGCCGCTGGGCCTGCTCTGTGCATGGTCACAGTTCCCTCTACCTTGCCGGTGCAGGGGGAGGGGGCGGCTCTGCCTCTCAGCAGGTCGCTGCTCCTCCTCTGCTGGTGGGTCGCAGGTCCGCCTACCTTGCAGGAGTGATTGGAAGCTCTGTCCCGCCAAGGGCCGCTGGGCCTTTTCTGTCCGTGGTCACAGTTCCCCTACCTGGCAGGCGCGGGGGGTGGGGGGCGGCCGTAATTTTCTTAATAAATATATTTTCTTAATAAAATATATGTATATTATATATATATATATATATATATCAGCTAATAATAAATAAGTAATAAAATATATATATCAGCTGGGCATTGAGCTGTACACCTGTAATCCAAACAATTTGGTAGACTGAGGCAGGAGAATTGCAAGTTTGAGGCCAGCCTCAACACTTTAGCAAGATCCTCAACAGTTTGGTGAAACCCTGTATCAAAATAAAAAATAGAAAGGGCTGGGGATGTAGGTCAGTGGTATAAAGCCCCAGGGTTCAATCCCCAGTACCAAAAAAAAAAAAAAAGAATATCAGGAAAACAACAAATTCTAATTAAGACATATTCTAGGAAAAAGACAGAGACAGAGAGAGAAATATTCTTCAAAATACTTGATCAGGATTCCTCAAAAACTTTTAAGGTCCTCAAAACCAAGAAAGAAAACTCAGTGGCACAGGCTTGTAATCCCAGCAGTTCAGGAGGCTGAGGCAGGAGGATCTTAAATTCAAGGTCAGCCTCAGCAATTTAGCAAGCCCTTGAGCAATTTAACAAGACCCTGTCTCCCAAAATAAAAATAAAATGGGCTCAGGATGTGGCTCAGTGGTTAGGCACCTCTGGGTTCAATCTGGTACAAAAACAAACAGACAAATAAGAAGCTGGGCACAGTGGCACACAGCTGTAATTCCAGCAACTTGGGAGTCTGAGGCAGGAGGATCACAAGTTTGAGGCCTGCACCCTGCAATTTAATGGGACCCTAATCAACTTATCAAGACCCTGTCTCAAAATAAAAAGGGCTGGTGCTGTTAACTCAGTAGTTAAATATCTCTGGGGGCAATCACTGAGGGAAATGTAAAAGGGCAAGTCAGGGCAAGGTGGGGATTGAGTAGAGCAGAACAAAGGAACATGGAATGGGTCTTCTGATGTGGTCAACTTTCTGCTGGGAGAAAGCACTACTGGGCACAGTGGAGAGACCCAATCTGACAGACACTTCCGTACTCATAGTCCTAAGTGGAGGATCCAATAAAAAAAATAAAATAGACTTGGACCCCGATGGTAACAATAATTGATAGTGGGGAGAGCATGGACAGGGGAGGAGACAAGAAAAGGAAGATAACCATAAAAAGAATAAACCAAAACTTCCCACTGAACTCCCTGCTCAAGGACCCCTTCTCTTAGGAGAAGTCTGTCACTTTTGCAATAAACCTGCAGTTTGCTTGCTGTCTTTGTGTTCTTCAATTCTTTGCTGAATGAAGACAAGGAACCCAATACCCCTAGACTATAACATCCCCAGTAACAAAACAAACAAAATTTAAAACAAAAGAAAACAAAGAAGGAGCCAGGTGTGGTGGCACCTGCATGTAATCCCAGCTACTCAAGAGTTGAGGCAGGAGGATTCCAAAATTCGAAGTCAGTCTGGGCAGTTTAGTGAGATCCTGTTTCAAAACAATTTTAAAAGGTCTGGGCATGTAGATCAGTAGTAGAGCTCTTCCCTTGAATGCTTGATGCCTTGGGTTCCATCCTCTGTACTGCAAAGAAAAAGAAAAAAAAAAAAAAGGTCATTAAAGCAAAAACTCTTAATAATTTATGACTAAGCTTTCTAGTAAGCAAAAGTTACTTTCAAACTATTTGTGTTCTTTGTTTTGCTGTTCTGGGATGGAACCCAAGACCTTGCACATGCCAGTGAAGTGCTCTACTACTGTGTTGCATTCTGCAACCTATTTGTTTTTTACAGTTGTTAATAAAAGTGGTACTTATTTATTTATCCTCTGCAGTACTGGGGATTAAACTCAGGGGTGCTTTACCACTGAGCTACATCCCCATCCCTCCCATGTACCACTGAACCACATCCCCATCCCTCTCACTAAATTGAAGAGGCTAGCCTCAAACTTGCTATCCTCTTGCCTCCAGACTCATGGGGATTACAGTGTGAGCCACTGTGTCCACCTATAAAAGTGGCTTTTAAAAATTAATCACCTATGTGAAATTTTCTTTGTTTTCTGACTGGGTCAATTTACACATGTACAGACAATGAATTAAGAGGTTAAGATAGTTTGGTACTGTGGTGCATGCCTGTAATCCCAGTGACTCAGGAGACTTCGACAGGACAATTGCGAATTTGTAACCAGCCTCAGCTATTTAGCAAGGATCCTAAGCAATTTATGGAGGCCTTGTCTCAAAATAAAAAAATAAAAAGGACTGTGGATGGGCTCATGGGTTTAATCCTCAGTTTCAAGAAAGAAAGAAAGGGAGAGGAAAGGGAGAGAGAGAAAGAGGGAGGAAGGGAGACAAAAGCAGGAGGATCACAAGTTCCAGACCAGCCTCAGCAATTTAGTGAGGCCCTAAAGAACTCAGCGAGATCCTAAATTAAAAAAAAATAAATAAAAAGGGCTGGGGATGTAGTTCAATAGTAAATTACCTCTGGGTTCAATCCCCAGTATCAAAAAAGAGGAAAGTAATTTCTCATTGAGCAATTATGCTGACAACAGAAACCTTGTCCACTTCTCCCTGTGCAGCTAAGGAAGCACAAGGCTCTGCATCCCAACAACCTTAACTCCATGTCTGTCCAGGGCTCAGTCACGAAGCCCACAGTAGCCTGGAGTCTATTTGACTTTTTCTCATCTGCTCACTGCAGAATAATCTGCTAATCCTTTGGAAGACAAACTCTCAGCTTTGTGAATGCCGGAGAAAATATTTTTAGAATGATCATGTATATAGTGTAAATAAAGTTAAATAAACAGTCAGGAAGATGAATGTACTTATGTATAGGATTACTCGTGTTTATTTGTATTGTGGTTTCTGTGTAATTGCTTGGCATTGACACAGGAGAAGGGAGCGAAATTAGCCATAATAATTTTTGTCTCTTTTCCATCAATTTAGGCACATATAGGGAAAATAAGTGTGGATATATAATGAATCATGCATGTATTACTTTGTCTTAGACAGGATTTGATGTAGATACTCAGCTCCATGCACATTTATTTTTCAACTGAAAATGCAGGCTGAGGCTCACATCTAAGCACATTCCTCCTATTGTGCCATGTGGAGGCTTCAGCAACACAGACCCAGAACAGAAATCACTATAAAGCTCACTATTTTAATAGGCATGTATGCTGTGGTTGCTCTGGAGTTGTCACTAGGACCCCACATTCTAAGTTCGGACCGTTGCCTAGGCCAGTCAATGACTCACTTTGCTTACTGATATAGTAAGAGAATAAGTCGCACTGCCAACCATCTTCTTCAATACCCCAGTCCCAAACTGCTATCCTGTCTACAGAAAGGGAGATAGCAATAAGGTGTACAGGTGGCTAAAAAAGCTGTTCTTGGTCTTTACTTCAAAGGGTTTCCTTCCCTGCCATGTGCAGTGGTACATGCCTGTAATTTCAGTAGCTTGGGAGGCTGAGGCAGGAGGATGACAAATTGGAGGCCAGTCTTAAGAGGTCCTAAGCAACCTAGCGAGACCCTGTCTCAAAAAGTAAAACACACTGAGGATGTGGCTCAGTGGTCGAGTTTCCCTGGGTTCAATCCTTAGTACCTACCAAAAAAAAAAAAAATAGAAGAAAGAAAAGGAAAAGGAAAAGGAATAAACAGACTTTGAAGCACATTGTGCAGATATAGGGTGGGGGGACAAACTCAAATTCAGTTTCTACTATTCCCATGGCAGGCTTCTGACCTGTTTGGATTTTCTTCACATTTATCAAGCAAGCAACATTGCAGCATTGGGCACCAGCTGGGCATCCCCTAATCCAATCAAGTTCTGACACTATCTACCTGGAGACAGCATCAGAGGTTGAGGGCTCAGTTCCCAAGACTGGGTCACCCTTTAAATGACTATCACAAACCCCAGGTTGTTTTACCTGTGTTTTCTAATGACCACCTAAAAGTCAGGGTTCTCACAACCCATTCAAGTTCCATTAGATTGCACAGAAGCTCACAGAACCCAGAGAAACACTTAATTTAATCGTTTATTGAAAGAATATTACAAAGGAAACAGAGAGATGCATGGGTCTGTGAAAAGAAGGTGCGAGTGACCATTCCCACTTTGGGCATGCCACACTCAAGAACTTCCATGTGGGGCTGGGGATGTGGCTCAAGTGGTAGCGCGCTTGCCTGGCATGCGTGCGGCCCGGGTTCGATCCTCAGCACCACATACAAAACAAAGATGTTGTGTCCGCCAATAACTAAAAAATAAATATTAAAATTCTCTGTCTCTCTCTCTCCCTCTTTCACTCTCTCTCTTAAAAAAACAAAAAAACAAAAAAAAAACTTCCATGTGTTCCAACTTCCTGGAAGCTCTCCAAACTCTGACTTTTTGCGTTTTATTTTTATTATCATTATTTATTTATTTATTTTTGGTACCAGGGATTGAACCCAGAGACATTTAACCACCAAGCCATATCCCCAGCCCTTTTTATTTTGAGACAGGGTCTTACCAAGTTGCTTAGGGACTCCTTAAGTAGCTGAGGCTAGCTTTGAACTTGGGTTCCTCCTGCTTCAGCCTCTCAAGCTGCTGGGAATACAGGTGTGTGCCACAGCACCAAGCCCTTTTGGGGTTTTATAGAGACTTCTTTTCATAGACATGACTGAATGAAGCATAGACAATCCTGTGGATTGTGTTTGGGTATAACATCTAATAGACTGAGTGGGGAATTCCAATAAGGCCTGTCCAGGTTTCCCTTGACCTCTCTGTGCAATAGAGGTATGGGTATATATTTAGGGCATTCCCTCTGAAATGGTGGGAATCTTATGAAAATGCCAGTCAGATAATTTCTTTCTGGCAAGCTCCACTGAAGATTAGAGTTTCTATAATTTCCATCAGATTCATGTTTGGATTTTTTTTTTTTTTTTTTTTTTTTTTTTGGTACCAGGGATTGAACCCAGAGGCACTTAACCACTGAGCCACATCCCCATCCCTTGTTTTAAAAAATATTTATGTAGAGGCAGGGTCTTGCTGAGTTGTTTAGGGCCTCATTAAATTACTGAGGCTGGCTTTGAATTTCGATCTTCCTGCCTCAGCCTCCTGAGCCACTAGGACTACAGGGTCGTGCCCACCACACCCGGCTAGTTTTCAAGAAAGAAAATGTGGCAGGTGTGATGGCACATGCCTGTAATCCTGTTACTGAAGGCTCTGTCCTGATCCCCAATGCCAATCTAATAATGAGGACACGGTTTTGAGAAAAAAGAAAAAGAAGTCCAAAGCCAGCCTCAGCAACTTTGAGGCTGACCTCAGCAATTTAGTGAGGCCCTAAACAATTTAGCAAGACCCTGTCTCAAAAATAATAAAATTTAAAAAGGCTGGGATATAGCTCAGTGGTGATGCAGCTCTGGGTTAAATCCCCACTTCCAAAACATAAAATAAAATAAAATAAGCTGAGCTGAGGGGGTAATTCAGTGGTAAGAACGTCCCTGAGGGTAAGAAAGTCAACACTTACATAAAACCAGTGAAAGTATTTTTGTTGTTGTCGGAAATGGAACCCAGGTCTCCTACACACAAGTACTCTACCAATGAACTACACCCCAGCCCAACAAATGAAAATCTTAATTAATCTTACGATAATAAATAATCCTTTATAGAATTAGTTATCAATTATTAAAATTAGAAATTCGTATTAGGACCCAGGATAGTCACAATACCATATCCTCTAGGTACAGAACTTTCAATTCCAATGGTAACATTCTGTTACTTGCTGGCCTTGGGCTTTTACAAACACTGGCTCTTGGAAACTGGAGAGGGTAAAGAAGAAAGGGCCTTTCCTCTATCTAAGCCAGATTCTCTGACTTATCTTTCAGTTTATTTACAGGACTCTGCAGCACACATTCCCCAAACCCCTTATCCACTTTGCACCTCCCTATTTTTTTTTTCAAACCTTAAAGAACATGTGGAAGCCTGGCACAGTGGCCCATGCCTGCAATCCCAGTGACTAGGGAGGACCGCAAGTTCAAAGCCAGCCTCAGCAAAAAGTTAGGCACTAAGCAACTCAGTGAGACCCTATCTCTACATAAAATACAAAATAGGGTTGGGGTTGAGGCTCAGTGGTTGAGTGTCCCTGAGTTCAATCCGTGGTACTCCTCCCAAAAAATAAAAATAAAAAAGAGCATGTGGATGTCCCTCCTAAGATCACACAGCTCTCCAGGGCTACCATGCTTATACTGATTTGTAATCACTTAGTTGACCTCCAGGTTAGCATTCTCTCCTCCACAAGATTGCAAGTTCTTAGAAGATAAGACATGGTCTAGAGATAGGAATTTGGAAATAAAAAGAAAGATACTGTGTCTCAAAGGAATTGCCCGGAATTCATTGAAATGCAGGAAACACCCACTAAAATTATAAGTACTGAGCCCTCACCCTTAACCCATGCCCTTGTAACCTGAGGGCAGTGCTCAAGCACAGGAAATACTGGCAAAATTGTGTAGCTCCACCTCCAGCCAGCCTTAGCAACTGTCCTTCTATAAATAGTAGCACCCTACACCACAGGGGTTGCTGTCTCTCTCTCTGGAGCCAGCCTGCCTTCTCTCGTGAATGTGTAGT